ACGAGCCTGCCTCCTACTCAGAAGCTGTTAAAGGACCAGAAGCCCAAGCATGGTTACAAGCCATGAAACAAGAAATTGACTCAATAAATAAGAACAATACGTGGAACTTAGTTCATTTACCATCAGATCAAATCCCGATTGGAAGCAAGTGGGTTTTTAAAAAAAAAAACAGAGCAGGATCAAAAAGTTAGATATAAGGCTAGGTTAGTTGCTAAAGGTTATGCTCAACAAAAAGGTGTGAACTATGATGACAACTACTCACCTGTTGTACCTTTCACATCCTTGCGTTTATTATTTGCGATGGCTGTAAAAATCCCACTAAAAATCTCTCATTATGATGTTGAAACAGCGTTCCTTCATGGTGATTTACAGGAAACAGTTTATCTGCAACAACCAGAAGGATTTACACAGGAAGGAAGTGACAACAAAGTGTACAAACTTAACAAAGCCTTACATGGACTAAAGCAAGGAAGTCGATCATGGAACCAGAAACTAGATGCCTTTCTGGAAAGCATGAAATTTTTTCAGAGTCCAGATGATCCTTGTGTATATATCATCACAAAAAATCAAAGAATTCTGGATGATATCTTCGTTTTTTATAATTGTTCTAAGTTTAAAAGCTATATGGATGAAAAGCTTTTTTCTGCCTTTCCAGTGAAGGATCTTGGAGTTGCCAAAAAGTTTCTTGGTTTCAATATAGTTCATTACCTAAAAAAAGGATTGATAACAATCGATCAGACTGACTGTATTATAAACCTTTTGAAAAGGTTTAAGATGGAGGATTGCAAAAGTGTTTCATCACCCATGCAAAAATCGCCAGACCCGAAAAGGATGACACACTAAACGCTCCTAACCAAAACGCAATCGGAGCAATACTGTATCTAGCTCAGCTGACCAGACCTGATTTAGCTTACTCAGTCAACAACTTAAGCAGATTCAACAACAACTTCACCCAAGAACATTGGAAAAGTGTTAAAAGATTGCTGAGATATTTACAAGGGAGTAAAGACTTAAAACTAACATACTACAACAAAGGGAACGAGGACTTAAAGGCGCACTGTGATGCAAGCTATGCGCCTGACATAGATGATCCACGTTCAATTAGTGGTTACATTTTTATGCTTCAGGGAGGACAAGTGAGTTGGCTCAGTAAAAGACAACCAAAGGTTTCATCTTCCAGTACTGAAGCTGAGTATTACTCTCTCTACACTGCTGTTCAAGAAACATGCTGGCTGCGAAGACTCATTCAAACCATTCGCCTCCAAGGATCAAAACCAACTGTAGTCTACTGTGACAACAAAGGTGCCATAAGTCTTGGAGTAAATGCAAATTACAGTCATGTCACTAAACACATAAGTGTAAGAAACTCCATTGTAAAAGAAAAAATAGAATCCAAGGATATTCAGATTGAGTACATATCTTCAAGTGATATTTTAGCAGATACTCTCACCAAACCAGCAGCAAGTGATGAGATTAAGAAGTTTTTTGATTTTTTTGTTTTAGGTTTTTAAAGGCAACTTTTTTTTTTTTTTAAAGTTTTTTGTATTTCTTTTGAGAGGGCGTGTTGCTATATCAAATTCAATACAATACATACATATATACATTTTTCAGCATGTAAGTGTTAGGTACATTATACGTCATACTAGTCAACCTATCTTTGGTACAGTATAGTAGTATACCGCCAGCACTCGCTCTGCTCACTACTGTAGTACTTTTCCTCTTTAATTAAACCAAATTAAACAGCTAGTGTTGATACCTATTTATTTATCCTTTAACTTTCTCAATAAATCTACACATTATAATTTCTCCAACAGCTAGTACTAATATACGGTATTTTGAAAAACTTGTTCGAAATGATCCCTACAATAGCATAATAAGTATTTCAAGCTACTCGCTAAGGGAGACACCAACCAGTATAAACAGAGTGTCACAAACTTACAGTATACTCTCTATCGTCCGGCTTTGTTTTGGGTAACCTCTAGTACAACGTACATTCATAACGAACACTAAAGATCCTAAGGAATATAAACCACCAACAGGATCATCATTAGGCCAACTAACAGACGAGTTGGAGGAGTATGGTGAAGGTTCTTTTATAGAAACTTTTGTGTCTGAAGGACCAAAGTTTCATGGTAATCGCATACGTACCCTAACTGGTGAGACGCATGATGTATGTAAAGTAAAAGGTATTCGTGTCAACTACCAAAATGCGGTAAAACTTAATTTTGATACGATTGCCTCTATGGTTGAGAAAAAATTTAAAAATAATAGCGATTATGAAGATAAGGAAAGTAGAAATAACGTTATAATTACACGAAACACGATGATACGAAAAACTAACACACACGACGTCGTAATACGTATCGAAGATAAAACGTGTGAAATTGTCTTAAAAAAACGTGTTTTCATTAATGAAAAGTGGTCTTACTCACTCGATTATAAGAAAACTAAATAATTTTTAGAAACGATTCAAGTATTTATTCATAATCTTTCTTTATTTTCCCTTGGTTTGAACACTGCCTTGCAGCGAATAAACAAAGGAGTTGATTTTTGTCTGCGTCAGTTTACACCAAATTTTACTCCGGATTGTAAATACTACCCCAGTTTAAAAAAATTTTTAGGAGGATTGGCATGGCACAGCATGCTTAATAGTTTATATGAACTAAAAAATAAAAGAAAAATAAATGAGTTTTATACATTACTAAAACTTTTGCAAAGATTAAAATATAAGAGCAATATATTATTTAATTTAATTATCTTTGGTGAAATGCGTTAAGCTGTATGTATTAAATGCAAATCGGATCCGGAAAAGGGTTTTACATGAAAAAAAAAAAAAAATGTCACAAGGGAAAGGTAGAAAGTGGGTGGTATCATGATTTTAATAAATTTCTAAACATATAGGTTTCTGATATTCTAAACATCATAGGAGAAAGTGAAATTGAGTCGATCGAATTTGGTATATTTAATAGATTTCCAAAGGAGTTTTCAGGTTGGTTGATAGGAAGTTGTCGTATTCATCAGCTTATACGACTTCAACGTTTGTTTTGTGCGATTAATAAATTTCTGTATTGGAAGAAAAAAAANCTTGAGGTGTTGGTTGTTTACTTAAAAAAATCAAGTGGACCAGCAGATCGAGCAAATTGGGTTATTAGAGTTAGCTTTCATGCATGCAAGCTTTCCTATAGTCAGTTAGTCATAAATTAATTGATACCTTAATCTAATTAAGTACGAAATAGAAAAAAAAAAAAAAAAAAAAAAAAGTGACTTCAAAAGTCTCGAACTCACAACCTTTGGGTCCAAAACAAAGTGCGTATCCAATTGAGCTAATTCACTACACATCATTTAGAAACAAAAACTTACCTATGTTCAAAGTATGTACGGAAGCTTAACTTTTACTTGTGTATGCTTCCGTTGATTAAATTTTATTCCAAATTTAGCATAAGTTGTACTTACTTTGATGTTTTACTTTTACTCAATTTTAAAGAAGAGCTTGTAAGTGTGCAAAGGTTTAGAAAATAAGCAAAAGTGCAAACAAGCGAGCGCATATATTGTGCATTGGGGATTAACTCTTTAGGATTTTGACTATTTGGAAACAAACAAAACTGCAGGCAAGCAAGCGCATTCGATTATTGGGAATTAGTTGTTCATTATTTTATTTATTCAGTTAAGAGGTATAATGTTTTTTAAATACTAGTAACTTTGTTGGGTTAATTGAGATTAATTACTTGGGATTAGGTACAAAGCGCATTCTATACTACATAGCGTTTAGATAATAATAAATTAATAAAAAAGTCTTCGAGTCTTGACCTAAATATAGGGATTGAACTATAATCAATGCTATAAATGATGCGGCAAGACGCAGAAAAACAGTTAAATCTGTGGGTAGAAAAAAATTTGGTACTATGTTCCATTAAAGAAAAAGGAGGTGACAATAATGAAACACGGACACAGTGAGTAAAACTAACAGGTGAGTCACTAGGCCAAATAGGGTGATGCAATCCAGTAGAATCAACTCTTGCCATATCAAATGCACATAGCATGGTATTTAAATAAATGGTTAATTCATTTATTGTATCACTGGTAAGAAAAATGTAATGGCTATTATAAATTAATCCTTCGTTGATAAAAAAAGCCCTTAAAGTTCTATTTTTAGCTGCTTGACAAAAAAGTATACCCGCGAGATCGGTCCAACGAGAACTATTTAACCACGATATTGGTAAAATATTTCCTAACCCGCATAAAATTGCTCGAGGCGGTAAACTCAAAAAACGTTGTTCTAACTCATTAATAACTATATTACATTCTATTACAGATTGCGATGTATCAAAAGATTTTCCTACATCAATCGTTTTACATCTATTCCCACCTTCTGCCATACAACGTCTCCATTTATTATTGATATTTATTGCTATATGCATTGAGGCTGTAAAAACAATATTTTTCTACATTATAGAAATAATATTGTACACAAAATTACGTTAATCATACATACCTTCACTTCCATTTGTCTTAATTTTTGTAAAAAAGGTAAGTCTGTTTCTTCTTTTAATGTTGATGACTTTTTTCACAAATAATGGTAGATTTTTTTTCACTGTAATATTCTTGCATTTCCGACTCCAAAATCTTGTAATCAGAATCTTCGTCAATTAATTGAATATAGAACGAAGATGGTGTGTAAAAGAACGAGATGCATACATTTTTTGTAAGACCAACTAATTGTTCACTATTACGTTGTCTTGTGTTTTGAAGAGACGTCATATTTTATTTTAGAGAGCTATTCGACCCTTTACATTCGTAAGTATAAGATCTTTAAAAGAAGAAGAAGAAGAGGAATAAGATAAAAACAGATATAGTACGCTTTTCAGGTTTTAGACTGACCTAGTGAGAAAATCGTAAAATAAGAGATCCCTTTGTTTAATAAAGATAAAAATGAGTGGGATGGGGAGAGGGATAATGCCGCTTAGCTAGAGGGATGCAGCTACATGATACTCATGCGCTCTTTAGATTAGCTCGACTCCCCGCGGTGAATCAGCTATACCGTTATCGCCGCCGCCGCCACCGCCAGCGACGCCACCACCACCGCTGCTACGAAGGGATTTATCTGTTTTTATAAATTTTAAAGTAATACAATTTTATAAGGTTGGCTATACTAACATGTGTAGTTTAGTTCAAACGACGCGATGGATACGCGCTGGCAGCATCCGTAGACGAGTATGATTTGTAGTCCTACGGGGTGTGGTAAGACCGTCTTAGTCAAAAGATTCTTAAATTTTATCGATGAATTGTCAAGAGTACGATTCGATAGAATTTTATTTTATTACGCAGAGTGGCAGGTTAGTTATAGAAGTTAAATTTTTTTTTAAATGGTCACCAAATTGCATTTCGCAAAGGACTACCAAAGCCCGAACATTATTTAAACGATCCTCAACGTGAAAAATTACTCATCATCGATGATTTAATGCGTAAATCATCAAACAACGTTGTTGTGGATTTTTTCACAAAAGGGAGTCATTATAAAAACATAAGTGTTATGTTCATAACTTAAAATATTTTTCACAAGTCTACTCATTCACGTGATTTAAGACTCAATGCTTCGTATATTGTTTTGCTTAAAAATCCGAGTGATCGTGCTCAAATACAGTACTTGGCAAGACAAATTTTTTCCGAAGGTCCTAAATTTGTACAAGAAGCCTATCAGGATGCAACGATAAAAAGACATGGTTATGAAGTGATTGATTGTAAGCAGCATACACTGGACGAGTTTAGATTTCGTACGTGCATATTTCCTGATGATGAGTATCAGTATGTATATTTACCAAAATACGTACACAGTAGCTGTACTTACATCGCCTAAGGTAAAAAAATAAAATTTTGCTTAAAATCCTGGTCAGCGAGTTTGTATCTTCAGTTTTGTTTAAACGATGGAAGCATCTGCATCACAACAGATAACAGGTCAACACTTTGGTCGCCGAAATAGTCATGGATCCTCAAACTCATCGTTTTCTTCAAAGATACCGTTTGAAAAAAAAACATATGAAAGTACTGGGAGCTCTCGATCATTTAAATAAAGATCAGCGTGTCGCATTATGAAAAAAAGCCGATAAAAAATTAGCTAATTATATTTGCGAGTGTGTTTTAAATGTACTAAAAGGTGTTGTTCCTTTAAAAAAATTACAAAAGTCAAAACTTAAAAAATTTCAAAATGTGTTGCGGAAAGTAGTTTATAAGAAGAAGAAGATAAAGAAAAAAGAAGGAGGCTGTTATGATGAAGATTCTTGGAAAAGAAAAAAAAAAACTTATTGTACAACAACGTTATGGTTTTTTGCCTTTTATACTCCAAGCAGTGTGTTAAGCGCAATAATAATAAGAGCTTTATAAAATAAAAAGCTATAAAGTGTTATGGAGAAAGCAAAAAAATGGTTTTAATTTCGAAAGAATAGCTCGAAAGAATACACAGTGAAAATGTGAAATCCCTCCATGAGACTGTAATACCTGTTTCCACTGGTACTAACGGTTTTTCTTTGCAACGAGTTTTACAATCTACATAAACTGTTGGAAACAACCTCAGTCGTTTAGATGATGAAATGTAACAAATTTTTTACTCCAATGCATTCAACGACGAACGTGAAAAATCTAATTAAAATTTAGGAGTCTTACAACGGTACTTTAATTTCATAGACGAACAAAGAAATCCACATGTATTAACAAAAAAAGAGGAGAAAAAATATGATACAGATGCAAATGGTCCAATGAGTGATGATATGATTCTCAAAACTATACCTAAAGCATATCCAAAAAAGTCTGAATTACTTTTAAATTATTTAATAAAAAAAAGCCCTTAAAATTAGTTGGAATAGTGAGGGTGGCGTGACCATTGATGGTGAAAAAATACGAGGTTCTAATATTATCGACTTAATAAATGATGCGGCAAGACGCAGAAAAACAGTTAAATCTGTGGGTAGAAAAAAATTTGGTACTATGTTGCACGAGATCCTTACTCCTCGAAAGTTTGTAGGAAATGATGACCTGTGGGAGATTCGTAACGTCAACCAAGTCGAGACTTTAATTATCAAAGACTCGTAAAAAATTATTTAACTCTAGAGAGATGATAGACCGTGACTATGATAATATTACCGATGAATTGTCGAGTAAAGACGGTAGTGAAGCATATCAATTATTTAGGGAAACTACCATTAAAGAGAATAAAATTATTAAAAGTCACATCAAAAGTCCATCTAAGATATCTACACTTTTACAAAAGGGAGGAGGAGTAGGAAGAGGACAGTGGCTTAGATTTTGAAAAAATGGACGTATTGGAAAAACAATAACTTATACCCAGTTATGAGGCTGGTTTTACCGGTGCTAAAAGCTTAATATTATTAAATAAAAATGTTTCATCACCTAAAATGAAGGAATGGTTAAAGGGACAAGACGTTTACACGTTACACAAAACTATTTGACGTAAGTTTCCAAGCTTTTTTTATGATCACAACGCTTTAGATGACTTGTGGGAGGCTTATCTCATTTAATTAACATCTATCAAAAACTACAACAGTGGTATGTCGTACATTCCCGTTGTAATAGATGTTTTGAGTAAATTTGTATAGGCTCAACCATTACGTGATCAAATTTAGAGTGAAGTTACCACAGCTTTTAAAAAAATTCTCGATAATAAACACAATCGGTTTTCAAAAACAGTCCAAACAGATCGGGAAAAAGAATTTTTAGGAAGCGAGTTCCAACAGTTGTTAAAGCATAATGGAATTAAATTTCGGATTGTGAGTAACCCTGACGTTAAAGCAGCAGTAGTAGAGCGTTTCATACGAATACTCAAGGAACGTATGTACAAATATTTTTCATGTAAAAATACATACCATTACATCGATGTATTACAAGATTTAATTGATGGGTACAATAAATTACCCCACTCCACAATTAAGCTAGCACCCAGTGCAGTAATTATACATAACGCGCACGTTGCGAAAAAAAATTTAGTGAACTCGCGAGCACAAAAGCAAAAACATCGTCAGAATCGTCAAGCTAAATAAAGGTATAAAGTTGGAGACTACGTGCGTATCAGTCACGAGAAAAACGTATTCGAAAAAGGCGCCATGAAATTCTGGAGTGAAGAAATATTTAAAATTGTCAGTGTTTCCAAAAGACAGAATTTATACACATATTATTTGCATGATTTAGGTGGTGAAAGTATTGATGGATTTTTTTACCCTGAGGAGCTTAGCCCAGTCGCTAAAAAGCGAGTATAAGATCAGGAGCATAAAATTGAAAAAATAATTCGAATAAAAGAAACGGGAAGAAAGAAACAATATTTTGTGAGTTGGGTGGGTTATCCAGAAAAGTTTAATTCGTGAATTTTTGAAAGAGACTTGAGAAATGCTTTATAACGATGTTACGATAACTTTGCCAAGCAACAGCAGTATGAAATATTTTCCTAATAACACTTCAAAAAATTTTTCTACTCGATTACCAAAAGAAATTGAGCTGTGCGGAAAATGGGAGGTTGGAATTCCCGAGATTCACGTACCGTGCATTATTTTACATGTCACTCGAGAGGACGCTTTACTCAGTGCACCTGAGGAGAAAACAGAATGTCGTTTTTAACATGGTACATACGACTCTATAAATAGCTTATATGAAGAAATAAATAATAAATGGACGAAACATATCTCTGAAGATGAAGAATATGAGTGTAAGCTAATTTATAGCAAGGAAGGCGTATTTGTATTTATTGGTGTGCCCTCCTTAGAAAAAAAAGGAACAGTTTTTTCATTTATAATGAAACATTTTAAAGCAAACAAGGGTAAAAAATTATCATGGTTATCAAACGCAAGACAATGCATTTTAGGATTCGAAGAAGGAATAATTTATATCGAAAAAGATCGTGCAGAAATAAAGGATGATTACCTAGTAGTAATTCACGGTAAACAGCCGGCAAGCATGTCAAGAGCAGTGCTCGATCAACTTTTTATTTATTCTAATATATGCGAACCATGTATTGTTGGAGACACGTTTGCACCTTCATTACAAATAGTTAACCTGGATGCTTAAGAAGTTCATTTCGGTAGTACAATCATCAAGAGGTATACGCCTGTTGCATACGTACCCCCTCCCCCTCAGTAATAGATTTTATACAATCGATATAGATATGAGAGACGAATCCGGTAAACCGATAGCATTCTAGTTTGGGACACTGACGGTGGTGTTACGTTTAAGGAAAGTGTTTTTTTAGAATCCTTGTATAAAATGAGTTTTTACGATGTGTATCATTCTCAGTACGGTAGTGGAGGTAGAGGTGTCAAGCATGTGTTTACTGGTTCGCATGGGTAGAGAGGCCATGGCTTAGGCTCTTTTTTACAGGACTTTTTCGCACAACTATGCCATATATAACAAAAGGTGCACGCGCTACTGGAAGAGAAGCTTTCCGAGCTGATGTAAATGTAATTGATGGCATTGCTTAACGTGATTTGCCATTTAAAGACACATTGAAAAATTGTGCAACCGAATCAGATATAAACTGGAAACGTAAGGCAACGGAAAAGCTTGTTAAATTAATGGAAGGGTCCGGATATAATGCTTTACTGTACAAAACTCGAGCGCAGTCTCGTAGCAGAAGCGCTACCCATCACAGCTCTACTAATCGTGCTAAAAAGAAAACATCTTGAGTGACAAAACGTGGACGAAAGGAAAGTATTGTTAAAAAGAATAAGAGCAGAGGAGGGAAAGAAGAATATTAAAAAAGTTAAATGTGTTGATATTAAAAGAGTAAAAAGTTGCAGAAAAAAAAATCTAAAGTGCCCGATATTTTTGTTTAACATATTAAAAATGTCTTTCTTACATAGCCACACTGATCCGTGTCTCAAGAGCGAGTTGGATTTATTGTCTCTTCCTCTTACTCAGATAGCATTAGAGGCAAGTCGATAGGTTTATTGTAAACCTGTTTCGTCACTACCCGACGAAAGTCCGATAGAGTTTGTCATAAACTCTCAAAATGAGGATTATTTGGACCTCGCACACGCAATGCTGAGAGTTAACGTAAAATTAATACCTTACAACAAGAATGCAGATGCGTCTGTGGCTCCAGTAAACAATTTCTTACACTCTATATTTAATCAAGTTGATGCATATTTCAATTAAAAACTACTGACCCCTCCTAATAATGCTTACCCATATAGAGCATACATCGAAACACTATTAAATTACGGACCTGCAGCAAAAACTTCTCACTTGTCCACGAGTCTTTGAGAA